AGAATTTTTAAAGCTTTAAAATTTTACGCGATGATAGCTTTTGTTTAAGAAATTTTGTATTATGTATTTGTATTAAATCTGTATTACATGAAACTGATGGAAATGCTATCCGTCCAACAGTTATATGTTGCGAATAATTATTTAAATACAAACATAAAAATTTTTTTTAAAGGAAGAAAACTTTGTAGTCTAGCACGCAACAATATACCATTTTATGTTACTATTAGTTACAGCGGCACGTTTTAATAAAATACACTTTTTGTTAATAAGAGCCACTTTACAAATAGAAAACGTATAGCAAAAGTGTACAAGAATGCGAGCGCCACCTAGTGATGAATTTCACGAAAGCCACTTTAAACTGGGAACCGGAATTTCGTTCAGTCTGGCAGGCCTTGAGTATAAAGACTATCACATACGATATTTGTTGCCGGAAGAAAATGTTTGAAGGAACAGTTTTGAGAATTGCTTTTCCGCGAAATCGGGTTACCATCTTCACTTGGTAAGGCTGAAAGCCAAACAAGAATCAGTTATCGCTAAGATTGGCGAATGTGACGTTTCCCTTTAAGTGAGGTTTGCTTCTTCGTGTTGTTTTGTATCGCTTACAATCTTTTCGTTAAGGGGTTTCTTTTTAAACTTTATTGTTAGTTATGGAAGATAATAAAAAGGTGATTGCTATTAAGTTAATCACTTTGATCTTAACTCTGGCACTTCAAGTAACAGATAAACACACTTCTGGTTACAGCAATCAATTACTACATGAGTTATAGCTAAATTCTGTATACACTAAGACTAGTTTAAAATGTGTGCTGTATTAGTCTGTTTATCAGACATTACTTATATGTATTTTCTGATGTCTGCATTTCAATGAAAATTTGATGGCTCACTGGAGAATTTGTGACCTGGGGAAAGCATTTTCCTGACTAACTTTATGGCTTATAATTACTGTTCTGTCCATAAATATAAACAAACAAACAGAGAGGGGGAAAAAAAAACCAAGACCTTCTATGGCAAAAATCTATATGGCTGATATTTGATATTTACATTCTCACAGCCAGCAGATACTATTGAACAAAATGAAGATTAAATAAAGCATATGAATACATAAGCAATCAAACATGCGCAAGTTGTTTTCTGTCCCATAGAACACACGGTAATATACCTAAAACACATTAATTATACCAACTCTAGAAATTAGCACATCATGAATTTGTTTTATGTGATTACGGCAAAGCCTCGAGGGATATCTGCCTAGCAGCAGGGATCGTTTGTAGAAGATTTTTTAAAACTGGCTCGTATATTATTTACAAATGGGGAAAACCAAGAAAATGCCCATGAAGCCAGCCCGTTCGCGGCATTCTAACCTCAGACCAGTGTTCAAAGACGCTTCGGCCACTAATAGGGCTGTGCACATAACTGGAAAGTAAAATTCATTATGTAAACACACATAAAGGTGATAATCAGTTGTGCACTGTTTCAAGTAATCAAATGTTATAAATGCATAGCTGTTACATTTCTTATTATTTATTAGCCATGTTTATATTACGTAGATCATGCATATGAGAGTAAATCGTTCCACACCATTTACGTCTACTTCCACTCAGCAAGGCATGATAACATAGTGTAGCTCATCGTGAAAAGCGACAGACGACTGTTGGAAGTGCTGGAGAGGAGACGCGTTCCAGAGAAGCGGTTATTCTGAGATACAAAAGAAGTGGACAGACGGTCCGCAGATCCATGAAGATGTTTGTTTGTCCATAGTAGTGTTATGTGGGCAAGACGTGCCTTTGAATGTATTTTGAAGCCTGGGTGTTAGCCATCGCTATATGATCCTTATTGGATTGTTGGACTTGCTTTCCCCATGAGATTACCAGCTGAGCTATTAAAGCTTATTTTTTTATCTTTTATTTCATTTATTTAATATTAGTAAAAATAAAACATTTAAGAATGCAACAGTCGTGCTCTATCATATTTTTTGAAAGTAAATACTACAAATTATGGCACACAACCGTGGCGCGAATCCAAAAAAAAATAGTGTTCTAAGTAAAAGTTCTATAAATTCGAACGCAAAAGTATTCGAATAGTGCTTCGTTAGGTAGAAACTAAATTCTTAATTGTTGAACTGTGTATTGAATTTAGTGGACTGTTTTTACAAGTTATTGGATTACCATACAAAGCGTTTGGATTACCAGTTGAAGACGATCATCTGTCGGGTGAGTACAATCTTTTCGTAAACTTTCTTTCCAGTATGAAGTTAGTAGAAATTCCAGAATTGGAAGCAGTTTAAAGAACAGTAAAAGTTCTGAAATCAAAAGTTTGCATGATCTTATTTTTAATACTGATGGAGACTGAAATAATCGGATGAATTTTCTGGCTTTATATATAAACCAAATTCTGAAGAATTTAATAAGAAAATAGATACAGTGCAGAATAGTCTTTCTTTGAATCAGTTAATTAAAGTTTGCAATATACTATGCATAAATTCAGAGGGTTCGAAAACGGAAGTAGTAACCCGAATTGTCTCTTTTCTGCGGGATTTATCTGTATTATTTGAAAATATTTTACATGAAGAAAATAGTGATGTTGAAGATGAAACTGTTAATAGAATTTCTGAAGTAATGCTTGTTGATAATCTAAGACAATCCTGGTTTTAATGAGTCTTAAGTAAATAGTAGTATGCAGCTTCCAATTCAAACATCCAATGCAGCTTCCAATTCATTTTAAACATCATCTTAGTTTTTCGGATATTCAAAGTATTGCTATTCCTTTTTCTGGTAATGCATATGAAAATTATGATAAATGGATTGATGAATTTGAAGATGTCATAAATTCTTTGAAATTGAGTGATTTGCATAAATTAGTTTTTGCTAAAAGATCATTAAAAGGTAAAGCAAAACTATTTATTCAGAGGGAACCTAAAGTTAATGATTGGTGTAAGTTAAAAGAGCTCTTGAAATCTGAATTTGGTAAACATTTTAATTCAGCTGAATTGCGTGAAATGTTATGTAAGAGTAAATTAAAGCCTATTGAATCTTTAGATGAGTACTTTTTGAAAATGAAAGAAATGTGTTCGTGAGGCAACATTGAAGATGCTTCATTAATTAAATATATTATAGATAAAGGTAAAGTATTTCAAGTAAGTAAGGTAAATTATTTCAAAGTGACTTTCCGAATATTTTTAAGAAGTGTTTTACGCAAAAGTTCTTATAATAGTTATTTTCTGCTTTTTTTATCTGCTGCTGAATCTGACGCTCATAGCACTAGTTATCCATCAATGTCTCAGCTACCATTGAAATTAGCGAAAGAACTTATTAATCAGAAAGAAATTAGAAAGCGTTTTCACCCGAGAATTACCTTTAACTTCAATGCAGCCGGTCAAAACACCAGAAAAAGTACTATTGAAATCTACAATTCCTGCATTAGATACGCATTTGCCTGCGCCTGATGATTCCGGTTTATGGCCCAAATCCATTATTGCCCTCTCAAGTTCAAACGTTAATAGAAAATGATCCTGGATATTACCAAAACTTGGTTTCGAGTTTCAGTTTCCCAAAAGACAAAACTGGACGTAAATTTTCTTAGATGTACTCATGTCTAATCTTGCTAGACAACGAAAGAGTTGATACGATTTCTTAGAACAATTATGAAAGAGTAAACCCGTTAATTCGAAATTTCAAATTTTATTAAAAAAAAAGAGACTAAGCACTGGTGCGATGTTATTGAACGAATTACCTATGCCATTCAGTTTTTAGCCAAACAAAACTTAGCCTTCCGTGGTTCCAGAAACAAATTGTTCGAAAGAAATACTAATTTATTAAAGTATATCACAAATTATTATCACAATATTTGACCCTATCATTATCTGTACATATTAATAAAATTCAAACTAAAAAAATATGCTTCATTACCTTGAAAATAAAAATTAAAAATAAAACAATTAGCTTATTGGAGGATAATATAAGGTAGATTATTTTAAATAAGGTCAAACAGGCAAAGCATTTTTCTATTTTAATTGATTGCACACCTGATGCCAGCCATCAAGAGCAGATATCAATTTGCATGAGGTGTCTTAATAGAGAAAATACAGACAGAGTATTGAAGAAAGCTTTTTAGTATTTTTTATTACAATAGATAGCCCGGTAGAGGACGAACAACATTCAGAAAGACTTTAGAGGAAAATGATTCAGATATTAGTAATTTACGCGGCGAAGAATACGACAATGGTTCAAACATGAGAGGTTATAATTTTCGAGTAATTATGCTCAAATCGTCGCTTTTCCGAATTAGAAAGTTAACCAAAGTTTAACATAATATGTAACTACACTTACCTTTTCTATGTAAAAAGAAACAATAACCACAAAGAATCCCAAAAGATAAACGTTGCAAGGCGAGAGGATGCCTAGAGGCGATCAAAGAAGCCGCTAATTTATCGGTCTAGCCGACGAGCTAAGCCTAATCTGAGTCGACAGGAATACTCAGCAACCCATATTCCACGTTCCTGTTCTGGAGGGATGGTAAAAACATCTGCCATCAACCCCAACCCCTGACAGCAGAACTTAAACACTTTCAGGCAGACCGGGCAACCAATCCCGGCTGCTAACCTATTGTTTGAAATTAATCAATTTTTTGACTTATTTAATAACTTTGGACGAATAGTAATATATTTCACAGAGAAAACCTTTTTAATTAACAACGAACTTATTAATTTTGCATTCTAAATATTACAAAAAGAATAACATTCCATGCGTTATCACGCTCAAAGTAATATATAACAAACATCACTGTTGCCACAAAAAATCTACATTATAATGAACATATTAAATTATTCCGTATTAACTGAGTTCGTGCACGTTCCTGAATATCCTCCCACCTTGCAATTTTTAAGAAATTGCAACGTATTCTCTACTCAGTTCAGAGATTCAGTGGATGAGGAACTTTTACTTGTCTTCCGACCCTAGTGGTTATGGGTCTGCCTATTGTAGGGGACTCAGTCAGAAGCTCAACTATCCTTGAGGTATCAATCTGACCATCCAAGAGCTGTTGATAGTTGGAACTTCTAAGATCCGCATCTTTGATCTGGAGTTTAACGAGATTTGAGGCTGAAAATGCTGAGGTAGCTCTGAGGGACGAGTCACTTCTAAAGGATACAGGTTGTGGACGGGTGTTATTTTTTCTCCGTCAGCCGTTTTTACTTTTGCCACTCTTACATGACCATCTGCACCTGGAAATACTTGGACAACAAGTCCCAGTGGCCAGTTGATGCGCTTTTCCGGAGTTCCAATCAGCACCACATCACCCACCTCTAAAGTGTCTCCTTTTCGTTCTCTTCTATGGACTAGCATGGCTAGGTACTCATTTCTGAATCTCGAGCGTAAATCAATCCGAAGATTTTGTAAATACCGCAAGCGACGATTTAAACTTTTGCTGTCTATAGTATCCAGATCCTTTACATCATGATGAGGGATTCCTTGTATAAAATATGCAGGTGTCAATGGCTTTAACTCCGCAGTCCCGTCTTCTAAGTAAGTTAAGGGTCGTGAATTCATTGTTGCTTCACAGTCGCATAGTATAGTTTCCAGCTCAATGTAACTGACCGTTTTAGAACCCAAAACTCGTCTTAAAAGTTCTTTTACCATCCGTACCAACCTCTCCCAAAATCCTCCCCACCAGGCAGCGGTTGGAGGATTAAACTTCCATTTAATCTTCTCAATTGTTGAGAACTCCATTATTTTTTTTTCCCAATCAAGTTCGTTTAGTGCATTATTCGTTCCTACAAAGTTGGTACCATTGTCAGGTATATAAGATGCTTACTTCTACCCCTTCTTGCAATGAATCTTCGGAGTGCCATTATAAATGGAATCTGCTGATAAAGATTTTCGTCAATTCAAAGTGCACAGCACGATAGATCGCACAAGTAAAAATCACAATCCATGCTTTTTTCGCCAGACAATACATACAGTGGGCCAGCCAAATCGATGCCAGTGACCTCAAAAGCTCCAGCATATTTAATGCGGTCCTTTGGTAAGGGTGCAAATGGTGGTTGAACAGATTTCCCTTTGAATCTTTTACAAATAACATACACTTTGAACAAATTCTCTTCACAAGACGTCTCATACCGACAGTCCAATAATCTTCTCGCAAGTTGCTGATCAAGGTCCCTGTACCTGCATGCTGCAGTCGCCGATGTTTCTCTTCTATTAGGCGATGAACTAGTGCATGGTTCCCTGGCTATAGAATAGGACACTTAAAGTTTTCGTCTTCGTCACTTAAAATTAGTTTGGTTCTTACTCGAAGAAGTCCAAAGTCATCCTTTAATGTAATCATCCCTTTCAAATTTTTTCCATCAGTATTCCGAAAGTTTTCGGCTTGAATTAAATATAACAACCTTTTCTCTGCAAAACTCACTTCTTCTGAGGTCAATTCCTTATTAAATTTTTCGTTTTTTCTATAACGACTGTTGTTAAGAAATCTAAAGATCCAAGCTAATACTCTCACATTTTTATAATATCCGGAAAATCGAGTAAATGTTTCTGTGAAGTTTGGGGTTCTACAGGAAATGCTAGAAACCACACTTTCCCTTTTTTCTGAATTAACTGTATTTTCATCAGAGTCTAGTTCTGACTCTTTAGAGAGAGGCCATTTATTCGGCTCCTGTTTAAGACAATCCGGCCCCTCCCACCATCTGCTCTGTAGCAACATTTTGGCATCTCACCCTCAAGAGGGAAGATCAGCTGGATTGCTTAAGCTTGGTACATAATGCCAGTCGTCCGGATTTGTGCATCTCCTTATTTCAGCTACACGATTGGCCACAAAAACACTCTAGTGGGAGTCTTTTTTGATCCATGTCAGAACTACAGACGAGTCGCTCCAAAAGCACACTTGCCACTTTGTCAATTTAAGAGCGTCAATGACTTCACGGTACAGCCAAATAGCTATAAGTGCTCCAAGCAACTCTAATCTGGGAATAGTTACTTCTTTGGTAGGCGCTACTCTTGATTTACATAATACCAATTGTACTGAAGTTTTGCCCTCAAAATATGCGCGTAAGAAAATGCATGCTGCATAAGATACGTTACTAGCATCACTAAAACAACGTAGAGAGATAGAGCATCGAAGGGTTCAATCACAAGTCTTCTTGAAATTTTACAAAAATTCAAGAAGTGTAGTCTTTTGAGCCAAGCCTGAAATTCTCTTTCTATACCTTGTGGAAGATTTTCATCCCAGGAAAGTTTCATCTTCCGTTTTTTGCAGAATGAGTTTTGGAATTAACGTGGTTGGACTTGTAAATCCGATGGGATCGAATATCCTCTGTGAGAATGACAGAAGAGATCGTTTCGTGTGGGCACTCTCCGAAAATGTCAAAGGGGTTAAATTGCAATAGATTTTATCATTCTCGGTGTCCCATGAGAGTCCCAGAATTGGAATGACCTTCTGATAGGAAGTCATGCTTCTATCTTTGAATGGTGCAGCAGTCCACCCTCTAAGGTCAAAACCTCCTGAAGACATTAGAGTTTGGGACTCTTCTTTGAACTTGATTACTTCTTCTTCGGTTTCGAAACTAGCTATACAATTGTCGACATAAAAGGATTTCTTCAATCTAAGTGCCGTTCCTCTTAAATCTTGTGGAGCATTATCCAAATGGTAAGAAATCGTTGCTCCCAACAGGAATGGACTCGAAGAAATGCCGAAACACGACACGACAGTGTCTGTAGGTAACAATCTCGGTTTTGTTTGAATCTTTCCACCACAGGAATTTCAAAAAGTCTCTGTCTCTGACACACAAACTGATTTGTAAGAAAGCTTTCCTTATATCGGCAGTAACACCAATTGCATGTTGCCGGAATTGTACCTTCTTCGTGCCAGCCGTTAATAATACCATCATATTCTTCGAAAAATACCATCTTCTGCAGTCTTCGTGTATTGGGGAAAAGTCTTTTTTCCACTTTATATCTTTATTATCTCCAAGAATCCGATGAGCCTTCCAAGGCAAACAGACTTCATACCTATTGCCCTCGATTACTTTAATGTTATCTAGGAAAAATTTGATCGTGTCAGTGTCTGAATTCTCCTTAGTTTTAACTTCCGCCGGATCTTTTATGCCAATTGTCTCTAAATTCCATAGTTCTGTGAGATCCAAATAACAAAGTCCGACAGCATCAAGCAAGGTATTATGACTTTAAGCTATTATGCACTGGGCTTTGTAGGGTCCAACCCAATTTTATTTCAATGGCAATAAGGTTTTTGTCAATTGGAATGATATTATTCGTCATCAACAGTCCGGAATAATCGACTCTTATTAACAATCCGATATCTGGTGTATCTCTACCAGAATCACTGATTTTGATTTTATGTTCTCGAAGCGAGGAACATATATGTTTGAGTTTCACTCTAGGCATGTATCCACAAATTTTGTGTTTATCTAAAACCGATAATCCGTATTTGAATTTATTTTCCGTTCCTTGTATTTCGATATCAAAAATACCATGGACCTGAGATTCAGTTTCAACTCCACCAAACAAATTGTGGCTCAAAGTCTCTTGATCTAATGGGACTAAATCTAGTCCCTTTATTATGTCTTTCCGTAAGTAAGATCTTTGTGACCTACTGTCAAAAAGCGTTCTCACAAGTTCCTTTTTTCCATTATGGACAATCTTCACCATAACAGTTTGGAGAAGAGTTGTTTGAAGTTTTTGGTTAGACAATAAAGTCTCACTCGTTTCGTTAGCTACTTTAGGTACTTCCTTTTTTGAACTTCTAGAACCTTTTAGTTCTCTACACATCACCGTTACGTGACGTTATTTGCAAAACAGGCATTTCACAGAACTTTTACACTTTTCGGCAACATGTCCAATTTTTAGGCAGTTAAAACAAGCTTTTTTCTTTCCTTAGTAAATTTTTCTTATCTTCCAATTGTGATAAGGCTGTGCAGCTTAAAGAAGACTCATGAAGAGTTAGGGACAAGGGTGTTCCTTGTCACACCAAACACAAAAATTAAGCTGTTTTTTTAACTTTACGTTTTAATTAAACACGTTTTCATAGTTATTAAAATAGTCTTTATTAAAATAATTAAATCGTTGGCAATATTAAAAACGCAGGCTCGAGAGCCACGAATTGCTCTCCCACGTAAAATGTATAGAATTTGATTTTTGAAAAAATAGTAAGTTTCTCTCTTGTCGAGTTGTATGTAGCCGTTTTTTTTGCGTTCAATAAAATTTTTATGCTGTGTTTTGTTTTGAACCTGATGTCACAACCCAGGGTTTGCATAGCGGTTTCGGCCACTACACCACACAATGAAAAGCTATGCAGCTTAAAGCACTCATAAGAATTATGTGTTTCCTTGTCACACCAAACACCAAAAGTAAGCTGTTTCTTCTTTGAAGCTCCTGCATAAATACAAGCTGCTGTGGCTGGAACCGAGTCAAATTTATCTAGGAGCAGAAAAACTTGTACGCGGCCAACTGAAGATGCTCTTCACTTTCAACTTCAATTCGGAGAAAAATGTAATAAATTTTTCAAATTTTCAGTGTGTGCAACACTTTTCCTACGCTGGCGAGATCGCTCCCATGCCTTCAGAATTTCTTCAGGTAGTTATTAAAATCTACAAGGGGATACAGCATAGTTGCATAAATCTTACTTTTTACCCCCAACGTTTCCAAAGCTCTGAGTTGCGTTTCTAACTTATCATATAAGTTGGACAGAATCATATTTCCTTTTTTGCTAGCTTGAGCCAAACCCAACTTTAATAATTCGCGGACATAGATTTCTACCAGTAATTCATCTCGTGCAAATCGAGATTTTAGCTGCTTGATAGCTTCTTTATAATTCGCGCCTGAGGGACGATAACTATCTATGAGCTCTCTCACTGGGGATCCAACGACCGTTTCTTGCAATAGGTACTGAACTTTATCATCGTCATCTATATTTACATCTTCGTCGATCTTCTTAAACTGTCCCCAAAATCCTAACCAATTTCGGGTTTTGCCATTGAATTTTTGAAGCTCCAACTTTGGTAATTTAAAGTTCCTTTTCGTGGAATTTTTTAAAGTCCCAGGTGTAATTACAGGAGTGGAATTCACCATTTTATTTTCTACTTTTGTTTTTAAACTGATATATTTATCACGATATGTTTCATTCGTGACAAAATCAGCCAAATATTCACTTTTGTTTTCACTTTTCAACAAAAGTTCGGAAATTTGTGATTGAACTTCATCTAATCTGTTGAATTTTCCTTCCAGCTGTGAGCTCAATACTTGGAGCTGATTAATCTCCACGTCAGGCTTTAGAATTTCAGCATCTCAAGCACTGGCAGTAATCGTAAACGATTGCCTTAGAGGCTTACGCTTTCGTAATAAAAATTCCATGATTTTAAATTCAATATGTCCAATATATTCAAATAATAAAGGATATAATCAAATAAATCATAAACTCACTTGATAAATTCCAATGCGAAATCGATGTTTCGTTTTCTTCAAATAGCCATTCCGTCCTGTCACCGGACGCCAGTTGTTTGAAATTAATCAATTTTTTTACTTATTTAATAACTTCGGACGCAAATGGTAATATATTTCACAGAGAAAACCTTTTTAATTAAATACGAACTTATTTATTTAGCATTCTAAACATTACAAAAAGAACAACATTCCATGCGTTATCACGCTCAAAGTAATGTATAACAAACATCACTGTTGCCACAAAAAATCTACATTATAATGAACATATTAAATTATTGCGTATTAACTGAGTTCGTGCACGTTCCTGAACACCTATGTTATGGTATACAGATGTCGGCTTTAGACGTCCCAGACGGAAACCAAGGAAGGATATGAATATGCAGTTTTGAGGCTCCAGGCGCACTGGAAACTTCAAGCAGTTTAAAGGCTCGTTGAATTCGCCCACTCCATCAACGGGTGGGTTTCACCCCGGAAAACCATGAATATTTGACTATATCCACCACAACCAACGGAATGGACAAGACAGTACCATACTGTTCCTGCCGAGCCTAAAATAGCCATTGCCAGCAATGACTCCAGTCCTGAGGAAACTCATTTTAAGCATCCGAGGCCGAGACTACCTAGGTACAGATCATAATCAGTTGTTACCTAGGTTTTACCTGAATCGACCTCAGGAGGGGCTTTCAAATAAGACCAGAATTTTCCTGTTCAAACCGGCAACGAGACGAACTGCTTGCTTTAATGATACCCGGGCGCTTTTTTGACTCCGCCGTCGTGCGTGGCACGACCTTGTACCGATTGTCGGCGCGAGCCTGCTTAGGGCACATTTTAATGTGCTGGCAAAAACTTTAAAGTAGTTCATGCAAGCAGCCAAAGAGAAGATCCGCGATCCCACCTCCTTTAACTGGTCTTTATTTTCCCAGTCGTTGGCTGTATTCATATACTTTTTTATTACAGAAGTGTTCTGAATGACGAAAATATTCATGTTTTGGCAATATCAAGCTTTAAAAAAATTGATTTTGGACAAATAAAGATATCTAACTTTTAATGCAGTTCTCGAACTCCAACTACCGCTCTTCTATGCCGTGATTAGCTTTCATTATTATGCAAGATGTTTTCCGGCTGCCTTAATATATTTTGCGTAGATCAGCGCTTGAGGTAGATTGATCTCCGAGCAAAGGTTCAGGAGGACAGCTTGTAGGTATTTTAATGCGGTCCTAATGCCAGTGATTGCAAAAATTACTACGTTTGCAAAAGTAGACATAAAATAAGGATTAAGCAATTTGTCGAATGCGTCTACCCTTACATACGCATCGGCATCAAGTATTTGCACGTTCAACTAACACAGAAGAGAACACCAGAGACGAACTCCTACCCTGGTTATAACTCTCGGTCAAATAAGATAGTGTGCTAGGAGGAAAGGGTACTCAGAGTTTGCAAGCCCGATGCTGCCCTAACACAGTTAAACGCCTCAACCTCTAAAGGCGATCCAAGAGGCCGCTAACCTATCGGTCCAGTAGACAAGCTAAGACTAAGCTGAGTCGACAGGACAACTCAGCAACTCACATTCCACGTCCCTGTTCTGGAGCGATGGTAAAAACATCTGCCATTTACAGAGATCCCAACCCCGGACAGCATAACGAAGACATTTAACACACTGTCAGGCAGACCGTGCCACCAATCCAGCCTGCTAACACTAAGTCGTGGTATACGGATGTCGGCTTTAGACGCCCCCAGGGGAAACCAAGGAACGATATGAATATGCAGTTTTGAGGCCCCAGTTGCCCCTCGCTGAATTCGCCAACTCCATCAACGGGGGTGATTCCCTCCGGACAACCATGAATATCTGACTATATAGCTCCACTACAACCAACGGAACGAACAAGACAGTACCATACGGTACTGTAGAAACATGACGAGGAAGTTAGGAGAACAAGGTCACCACACATATCAACTATTGAACATTCGGACCATCATGAAAAATATTCCAGAAACTGTCACGGAAGAATCGATCTAGCGAGAAGAAAATTCCCCATCATTAGGGTGAAACAATTTTCCAGAACCAGAAGAGGAGAGAGGGAGAAACAATTTTCTTTCTTGAACTCAACAGAAACAAAGAGGGTAACAACATTTTTGATTTGAACAATATGTACAATTTCAATAATTGCATTGAGAAGTACACTCCAGGAAAAGACCAACACAATGCTATAGATATCAGGCCTAAGGCCATACCCACCACTTGTGATTAAGCCAAGAAAGATGTTGCAAATGTTGAGAAACTTCTAGGACAAGCAACTGCAAAAAGAAAGCTGATAAGGAGCCGACGTATATTTTCTGCGGAGAAGACCTCCCATGCTATGCACAACGATCGAAAAAAGATTATGTAGCTACATTGGGATAGGGTGTGAACTCAGGAGCCTGAAAAAATGGACATAGTTCTACGAGACGCCGCAGAAGACCACGTCAGTAGCTATTAATGCTGTAAGGCCTACCAGAAGAAATTTTCCAAAATAGAAGCAAAATCAGAAGTCCGAAAAGAACCCCCCTTCAATATTAAGGAATTCCCGACTCTTCGAAGCCTAAAGGAAATAGGAAGAAATTCGTAAAGTCTAAAGCAAATAGCGAGAAGTCTTCATGCAGCAAAAAACTGAAAGATAGCAAAAAGAAATATTCAGGTTATGCTGGTAAATTGCCTGTAAATTGGATATTTGATCAGAAGATCATTCTCTTAATGAAAAATCTTTTTCATTTTATCTTGAAAATACAAGAAGCGCAATCTCCAATGGAAAAAACCTAAAGTAGGAGTTGAAGCCATTAAGCTATTGACAGCTTTTTGCTGATGGAAATTAATCTAGTGAGTTTTCTTCGTCCCGCCCAGTGTGTTTTGTGACGTTAAGTACCGCCCACTTTGAACTTTTAAGCAAAGGAGACTGATTTCCCAGGTTTTACCCTTTTGATTTTATATTTTTAGAAATATTGGTACTTGCTGAAAATCCCGTCGACCACAAGAGACAGCGCCAGTCAAGCCAAAAAAAAAAAAAAAAAAAAAAAAAAAAACTAAATACAAGGGAAAAACGATCTATTCTTATTTTTTTCAAATTTATTACATTATCATTTATTTATATTTAATTTTTCATTAAAACTTTCCATTATTTTTTATTAAGGCCCCAACTACTAAGAGTTTGCAAAGCACTTATTTTCTTTAAGCACTTATTTTCGTTAGGTTTTAATTATTGCGAGAAAATAAAACTCTCGTGAAATACTACTTTTTTCGCCTCAAATAATAATAAAAAATCTAAAATTTTTCACTTACCAGATTTCACGAAATTTTCAGCTCGCGAAATCTCCGATATCTTTTTTTTTCGCGAAAATCAGGCCTTAGGTCTCAGGTCTTCGCTTATTCAATAGGTATACGACCCTGAAGTCTTTACCTATCTATAACTGTCCTTAGTAGGAATCCTAAAAGTGAAAAAAAATTCCAAATATTGGAATAAACCTGTACACTGAAGTGTTGAATGACATCCAATGTGGCAGTATGTAACAGTGGCATAACTTGGGTAAAATAGCGATTTAACATCTGAAGCATAACTTTCACATCGTAAAAGAAATTTAACACATCTGTAGCATAAAAACTTTGGCATAACTTTCCTGCCTCCGTGTCTTGGAGCAACATTGAACCTTATTATACTAGTACTCGATTGTACCGGAAGTAACGAGTAACGATATGATAATAAGGATTGCAGCTTGTTTTAGTAACGAATGCACTTGGGTGCACAATTTATCGTTACCTTTACAGCAGTTAATAAACAGCTCAGAAAGGCGTCACAACAACAAGAAGAGTTGCCAACCGCATTCGTCAAAGTGATGGAAAAAAAAAAAAAAAAACTGGTTTCTACTGAAAGGCTCTGAAAACATGAAAATAAATTTGAGTGTCGTGGACTGAAAAACAAATCTGTGTACACAAGTATCAGTATTCTGAATTTAAGAAATTAAAAATGTAGCGGATTGTAGTAATTATATGTACTGAAAGTTAATAACTGTAACTGGCAAAAAGTTCTGACTTTTATTTATATGCGCGCGATTTCGAATGGGTATATGAATTGGATTGTAATTCAGATAAAATGAAACCAGTGTAAGTCAGTTTTTTAGTTTTATTTAAAATAGGATGCGAGCTAACTTGATATACTCGAAGAGTATTTCAAGTTACCGGTTCTAAATTCAAGTTCCGGTTCTCCATTGATTGTTTCCTTGAAATATATTATTTGTATTTTTGCCAAAACGGTTTTTACTGACTAGTTTCAAGTCGTAGTCTTTAATATGTGTTTGTTTTATGTGTAAAGAGAGAGTTTTACTAGGTACGTGTCCAAAAATACTGCCTTTTGCGAACAAAAGATGTCCTTTGTACGGTGAAAATGTGCTTTAACCCAAACCTTTGGCACGATATTTTGCGCTAAGGCGTGTTTACTGTTTTATATATTTAATCAAAAACGTTGTATTTTTTTAGGTTCTTAATTATTTAAGATTGAATAGAGAATTTTATCAAATCATAGGTAAATTATTCCTTATATGAAATAACTGTGATGTCATAAGATCAGCCATATATTATATCTTTCATGTATCTTTACATAATTTTTAAAGGACAGCAAAATTAAAAATTGGAAATTGTTATGAAATTTTACTGTGACACAATTTTCCATATTTTAAGGAATTTATAATATGGCTGAAAAGAAAGATACAATGCTTAAATGGTAGAAGTTAAACTTGTAATGAACTTTTTTACATTTATGAATTGATTTTCAAGAAATATTTAATGTATTTCCCATTACTCACAAAATATAACATATATGTATTTCTTGGCTGTATTCTGTCATAAAAAAAAGTTATGCAATCAAAAAACGGAGGTGATTAAAATAAAATAGGAATTTCAGAACTTTAATTTTTATTTCTCTTTATTTTCTTATCTTTTTCCCTTTTTTTTTTTTTTTTCTTTTCTGTTTTTTGAAAGGAAGACTGTTATGCGCCAGTGCATCAGTTTCCATAGTAAAATAACATATCTATTTTTCTTTTTAAATTTATCAGCAGTTGGCAGTTTTCTTTGGTAAAATCCTAGTATACGGTGCAGCCTTGGCGCGATTTTGAAAATTATCGCCAAAACCAAAAATTTATCCAAACAACGTCTGGTTAATATGGATAAATTATGTAACTTGGCGAAAATTTGGGGACCAACCCTTCTATAGCAACCTGCTAGTTTTGTTTTGGACACCATTTTGTTTCCACGAAGTAAACGCATGTTTTTTTTTTTTACTCACAATTTTTTCCCAACAATCTGCTAGCCAAATTATGCTTATGCTAGAACTTTTATGGAACAAAAGTGCTTAATCATGACGTATATTAGGTGTGAAATTGGGAGAAAGTGCAGAATCGCCCAGCTTGCGTGTTTTAGAATTGCACATACACGGTATCATCCATGTACACGCCGACCTATTTTCACTTAAAAAAACATCCCAGAATTGCACAAAAATGGCATTGTGTGCACTCTTGACTTTATCCATGTACACTGCTAATGTCCTAGCTAGTAACCTTTATCGCGTTACCAAAATGTCGCCAAACTACCTGTTACCATATTTTAAAGATTAGCCAAACGTCTATATACTATACACTATATACTCTGTGTGTATATACATAATGTATACTATATTTAACTATATATATTCTTTGAATGATCTGTTTACTACTCATCGTATATGTCCCGTTTTTACTGCTCATCATAAAGTCGCCAAAAGTAGCCAAATCCCATGTGCACCGGATACTAGGATTAAACCATTTTCATTTTTTATTCAAAATTTTTATAGAGAATAATAAGATTTGATAAATTTAATCGGTACTTTTCCGTTTCGCCGGCGCAAATCTCGCCAAGCAGATTTTATTGGCGACAACATACCGTATACACGTATACACATAAAAAATGTTAACAAATGTTAGTTCTAAGAACTTTTTATTTTGAAAACACAAACATTTTAATATCGTTTAAAATTTTGTAAAAAGCCAATAAATAAAAAACAGTAAATTTGAAAAAAAAAATTAATTTAAGAATTTACTATGTTTTCATGGTTCAGCATCCTGATTCATAGGTTCATATCACGTGACCTCAAGTGATCTCATCTACGCTACAAAAATCTAATTCTCCTAGCAATTATCTACATTAATTTCAAGTTAAATCTTAATTTAGAATATATGTTTAAATGCAGGAATTATTTCAATTTGTACGAATAGCTTACTCAGAAATTATGTAAAACCGCAGTGCTGTACTTCATTAGTGCATTCTCATTAGAATTGATAAATTTAACCCTTGACATTACTTTTTCTATATTTTGGCCTTCGGGTGAGCGGTGTGATTGCATCCTAATTGACTTAATTACGGCGAATGCCCTTAAGTTAGGGCATAAAATTGAACTATTTGGGTAAAAATACTATGCAATTGTATGCCAGTATTAAAAGAAACAATCAATCTGATAAGAAATGGCTGCGACTTGTTTTGAAGATGAGGAATAAAAGGTTACCAGAGAAGATATTCCATTTGGCATCAGTTATACCATTACTGACGACTTTTATCGCCTGCACCGGTAAAACGGAAAAGTACCATTTAATCTTTTACTGTAGGTGATGTGGAAAGAGTACTTATATCCATTACTTTTAAAGACTTCATACTTAAATATTAATGGCTAAAATTCCATAATCGGGGTGAGCGCCCAGCTTGGCGCGAGTTTTTAATTTGGCTGTGGTTTCCGGCTGTATGTTTTCTTGTGGCAGACCTAAAGCTTTATCTTGGTAACTGTAAGAGCACGAATTTAATGTAGCCAGATTTTTTAAAAAATTTAATTTTGAAATACTTTTAATTACTAATTAAAATTTTGTTTAAACTATTGTTTAATATGCAAATATTTGTTTGTTTTAAAAAGTTTTACTGTTTAATATTATTGTTATATATATCCTAGTACAGTCAAAATCGTAGTACAGTCAAAAGTCGTTAATTCGGACACCCATAATTCGGAATGATCTATAATCGACCTCAAAATAAAACTTTTGCGCATGCGCCGCATTGACACATGCGATAGGCGTTTGCGCGTGCACGTAGACCTTTTACGCTACGCATATGAGTGTGCGCAAGTGCAGAATACGTTCGAGTGCGCGTTTTATGATGAGGACGTATAGCTAAAATTATCTAATTATCTATTTCAGTTAATGTTGATAATTGCGTTGTTCCTTAATTTCGAATTGGATCGCTTATTATTTTTGCAGCTTAAGAGCAATTTTATAGTAAGCTTACTTCGATATATAAATAGATTTCCGATATATATTGTTAATAGTAAAGGATCTAAAAAAAGTATGTGAAATCCGAAATCTGTTTATCAATTTCACGCGCTCGGCGGGGGGAACGCCGCGATGTAATGAAATTGGGAAGTTGATCTGCAACACTTCCTATGTTCAGCGCAGATGTTTTATGTTTTGCTTATAATTATTACCAAATGTAGTATTTCATCCGATATGCTCCGTCTTTGATATGATTTAACAAGTTCTCGTCATTATAATTCGCTTCCGATAGCGAAGAAAAGTGACAGAGGTTTTGAAAAACGAAAAAATTTCGATGACAAATTAGTCGGTGGTTCTCGACACAAGCATTATAGGACTTGAACAGCGGAAACTGAACAAGAAATTATGTCTGTTTAATAGAATTAAAGAAGTATTATCACATAACGAAGCAAAACTTAAAAACTTACATTGAAAGAAATGTTTATAAAGTAAACAAATAAATATTAAGCTTTTCTTTTTGCAAATTTTGATAACCTTTAGATCATAATTGTTCTTTATTTCATAAATTACGGTTTCATATTTTTAATTTTAGAATTTCTGCATGCCATCTTACGAGATTTAAACTGATGATCTATAATCCGGAATCGCCGAAGTCCCGACGAGTCCGGATTAACGACTTTTGACTGTATACGGTGCAGCCTTGGCGCGATTTTGAAAATTATCGCCAACGCCCAAAAATGACCCAAAGAAAAAGTTATAGTAGTATAAAAGTTATATTTAGTATATATATATATATGTACTAAAAAATTTTACATATATACAATTTCAGTGTACTTTAAGTATATATATATATAGACTCAAAGAAGTCTATATATATACTTAAAGACACTATTCTATCACTATATACATAGTATATACTATGTATAACTATATATATTCTTTGAATACCCGTTTCTACTTGTCGTATATGTTCCGTTTTTAATGCTTATCATAAAAGTCGCCAGAAGTAGTCAAATCCCGTGTGCACCGGATACTAGGATTAAACCTATATGTTTAATATTATATTTATATAAATATTTGCAGAAGGTTAAGCTGTTGTTGGTGGGAGAATGTTGGATTTCATATGACATGGAGTTTATAATTTATGAATGTTTTCATTTAATTTTATTTAGTTGATTTTTTTTAGTCTTGTTTCTTGCATGTGGCAATCGAAAGATGTGGAATATTTAAAGCTTTGAATGAAAGTTGTTTAGTGCGTTGAATTCCACGACGTTAGTAACTTAAATATTTTAGTTAGTTTATGATGCTGAATACACATAATTTGCTTTTCTGTTTACGTTTAAAACTGACTTTGCAGTGCTCTGATCTGATAAGTGTATACATTTGTTTACAAGAATTGTTCATTCTACTATTTTATGATGAATTACATTTATATAGGACTATGCTTTTACTTGCAAAGCTGTTGGACTTTGTTTTACTCATCTAGTATTTTCTCATCTCATTTTACTATTCTGTTTACATAAAATAACGGCATTTCACTACCTCAAAACTTAAAAGTTACTATTCTGTTTACATTTAAACATCACATTTTAGCGCTTTCATTTAGTGCACCTAAAAAATTCGCGAAATTTTGAAGGCCAAAATAGTTTGGTGCTAACTTACCCCGCTTATGGAATTTTAGCCATATTAATATATATCTACTTAATATTTTAATGAGAATATCTCAGTATTTTAATTTCTGTATTAAAATTATAAGCAAGAAAACTAACTTTGATGTAGTTGAAGTCTGTTTGCTTATTTAGATCCATCAGCCATGTAGTTTTTAAAATTTAGCAAAGTATCAAAGGTGAAGAATTTAGTAAAGTATCAAAAGTGAAAATTTGATAGCCCATTAAAAATCGGTAGCAACAATTTAAAAAGTGACTTGCTGTTTATTGTGAAATGCCACAAAATGCTGTTTTGACACTAATAGTCCTTCTGGCCTACTTCCTCTTTGGGATAAAAAAATTAAAATACTAAAAAAAATTGTTAAGATAATAATTCAGCCTTTACTTAATGAGGTTTAAATTATGACAATTCTGTTTTTCCCAAGGGATTTTAGAGTAATTTTGGCTAAAGTGCAGAATTGCCCACTTATTTGTTTGGTGCTTTTTACAAGAGTAAGAAGAATTGGATTTTGTCAATTTTCTTTGACTTTTTAAGTGAAAATAGGTTGATGTGTACATGGATAATGTAAAGGGAGTGTGCAATTCCATTTTTGTGCGATTCTGGTATTTTTTTTTAAAGTGAAATAAGTCGATGTGTACATAGATACCGAGTATGTGCAATTCTTAAAAACGGGCCAAACAATGGGCGACTTTGCACTATTTCCGTAATTTTTATTTCTTCTGTATATTATTGATATTTAATGAGGATTTTATGAAGATATAACTATTATTTAATATGCAAATATTTGTTTTTAATTTTGCTTTTGATTTTTAAGAGGTCTCTTTTAAATTTTATACATATGATTATTTGTGCATTAATTTTGTTTTTTTATTATGTTAAAAATACTTTTGGTGACAGTCTTTTCTTCTTTGCTCTGGTTTTCATCAGTAAAATTTTAGAAAAGCTACAAAATCAACTGAAATAAGCCCAAATTATAGCTTAGTATTTATTTATTTCAAATTCTAATTTAATATATCCTATATTAAAACTGCATTAAATAACCTTGTTAAATAACCTAAATTATATGTTTCAATTTAAACCAAGTTTGCCAATTTGGAGTTCTTTTAAAGCTGCATGGTACAAAGAAACTTTATATGTATATATATATTTCAAAGTTTGCTGTGGTATAATTTTCTGTAATTTTTTTCTGTGCTTAGTGTAATTTTGTTTAAAATATTTTTTAATGCAGTAATAGAAGGGGGAAATTAGGAATCTTGCAACGTCTTTTGTGTAGCATTTAGTTATTACTTGAAGAGGGATATTTTATCTCAGCTATGGTAAACCATAGACAGCAAATGAAGACCTAATTTAGATTGTATACTTAGTTAGATTGTATATAGTTCTATATAATAAATAACCTTAATGCCATTTTAAGTAGGTGTTTACTAATTTTCAATTAATGGGATATAATGAACATAGGTAGTTAATATATAACTGGTCAGACTTTGACAATGTGTATTTGATATGTTATGTTAGTTATTCTGTGGATTATTTTTTGTTTAAAAAGATGCGAGAGGTGACATGTTTAAAAAGAATTGTTGTTTTTTTAATCTTCTAGACGTCCTAAAACTCCAAGAAAACCATTGGCAAAGTTAAAATCTACTGTGAAAGATCCTATAGAAGTGTATTGTAGAATCAGACCCTTAGACAATGAATATGATCAAGTTTGTGTTCGAGCAAAAGATGAGAAAACTGTTGTTTTATTCCCACCTGATGTTTCTCAGACATCTAGAACATTCAAAGAAGTAAGCATATATTTGCTATTACTTTGTGTTATTGTATTAACAAAAGAACATAGAGTTTAAATTATTTAATTTTAAAGTCTTTTATTAAACAAAATGTTATTAAATTGAAAGATATTTTAAAAATAGGTACCTTATTTAAGTCATAAATAATACATTATTCAAAAATAAACATGATATTAATTCCAAACATATTTTTCTTTTTCTGTATTGCACTCTATCACATTCAAAGAAAATAAACTAACATTTGGTGCAGTTTTTCCATTTTTTTCACTCAGGGTTAAAATTATTAAACTTATTTATCACTATATAGTAGTCAAGAAAACAAGAGCACTGTTTTCCCATTGCTCACATGTTTTAATTTGATTCAAAAGTATTCTAAACAGATAAGAGTTTTATTATCAATCATTCATAATCCTAAGTGAATCAGAAATATAGCTTTGCATTTGATCACATCATATAACGACAGCATTTTGGCTAGCAGAAATGAAATAGCTATTGAAAAGTCAGATCTTGAAATTTTAAAAATCGAATGGCTTGATGATGTTTCTAAACTGTGTTCAAGTTAGGGAAAGGTTTTTTTTAAGGACAGATTTTACGAATAAATTTTAGTTTCTTAAAGTACCATTCAGCCCAACTATTTTATTAATTGCCTGTGAATATAACAAATAAATTTACTGGAAATGCTGGAGCAGTATTGCTTGCATGGACTTTTGCTTTGTCACATAAGATTGTTATATGTGGATATGTGTTCTGCATAGTGGTGTGTTATATTATTACTAAGATTCAAAATAAAATTAGCAATAAAATTTTTAAATATTAATCCATTTGCTTCTGATAGTTCTTCTCTAAGTTAAAATATGGTTTTGCCAGTTCTGGAACCATACATTTTTCATCTGGCCATCCAGTTTCAATTAATTTTCTTAAAACTTCTGGTTCTTCATCTTTTTCTGTTTCCAGTTGAAAAACTTCCATTTTACCATTAGACATTGGTATACATTCTACAACTAATCTAACACGAGCTTCTATGTCTCCTTCAAAGAAATCAGATCCTTTGTCAGTGAATGATCTTGATAATGCATACCCTATAAAAAGTTTTTTTCCTGGTTTATATTTTATCTCAAACTGATATGGCTGTAATCTTATACACATTTTTTGTAATCATACAGGGCATTTATTTAATGGCTTTTTGAAAATTGATTCCAGTGGTTTATGGTCACTTTCCACAATAATATATCTTCCAAATATATACTGGTGAAATTTCTCACATGCAAATACAGTAGCTAAAGTTTCCTTTTCAATTTAAGCATAATTCTTCTGTGTATCTGTTAATGCCTTAGATGCATATGCTACTGGTAAATTATTCTGAAGTAAGACTGCTCCTAGTCCTTTTTGAGATGCATCTACAGATAAAACTACTGGCATGTTTATATCATAATACTGTAAAACTGGTTTACTTACTAAGACATCTTTTAGTCTTCTAATGCTTTTTTCATGTGTGCATTCCAGTTCCAGATAACTTGTTTTTTCAACAAATTTTTAAACATGATGTCAATTCTGATACATTAGGTATAAATCTAGAAACATATGTAATCATTCCTAGGAAAGTTTCTAATTCTTTCACATTTTTTGGTGGTTTTATATCTAGAATAGCCTTAATTTTGTCTTCATTTGGTTTTAAACCATATTTAGAAAATATATGTCCCATATATTTCACTTCATTCAGCCCAAATTTACATTTATTTAAATTAAATTTAACATTCTTTTCTCTGGCTCTGTCCAACAACTTCTTTAACCTTAAATCATGTTCTTTTTTATCTTTACCCCAAACTAATAAGTGATCTATATATATTTGAACTCGTTCTAAATCACTAAAAATTTCAGAAAAACTTCTGTGGAAAACTTCTGGTGATTAACTCAGTCCATATGGCAACCTCAAAAAACAATATCTACCAAACGGAGTGTTAAATGTAGTAAATTCACAACTTGAATCTGACAGTTTAATTTGCCAAAATGCTTTGTTTGCATCTAAAATACTAAAGACCTTTGCATTTGTCATTTGAGATGAAATTTTCTTCAAAGGTTAGTATGTGATAATGTTCTCTCAGTATATTTTTGGTTAAGGTGCTGAGGATCTAACACACACTCTTAAATTACCATCCTTTTTCCTTCTACCACTAATGAATTCACAATTCTGTTGGTTGGTTAACTTTCTTTATAATACCATCTTTTTCCATTCTTGCCAATTCCTTTTTTAACGGATTTAATAAGCTAAGTGGAATTTTCCTACAGGCTTCTATTTTACCAACAGCTCCTGGTTTTAATTTAATATGATATGTATATCCAGTTAAATTCCCAGTTCCTTTAAACAAATCTTGATATCCTTTTAAAGATTCTGGTAACATTTCATTGGAATCAGGATTTACTGTACAAATCCTTTGTATTAGGTTTAATTTTTGCAAAGTAGGTAAACCTAAAATACCTGGAACGGTTTTATCACATGCTACAACTTGAAATTCTACTTCATCCTTGTCCCCTTTCGATGTTTCACATAATAATTTACATTTTCCGACTACATCAGTTGTAGTACCATTGTAATTATTTAAAGTGACTTTTGATTTAGTCAAACATTTATCTCTTAAATTTAATTGTTTAAAGTTAGGCAATGGTTTAGTTTAAAGTTAGGCATTACACTGTGCACCAGTATCCAACTTAACAAATAAATGTTTAGTTATGTTTACTTTTAGTTTTTCAAACCATTCTGTTATATTTAGGAAATGTATTTGTAGCTTCTACTGACCTTAAAGTATATTCATTACCATTTACTATGCAACTCATGCTCTAAGTTATTCTGTACAACATTAACATTTTTATAAATGCACATTTTAGAAAAGTGATTTCTCTTTTATAGTACAAGCAAAATCTTATTATAAACAAGAAAGTTGCATAACTTATGAAAAGTTCCACATTTTTTACATGGTTTTGGATTATTATACGCATTTCCTTGATAATTTGAAGATGATTTAGTACTTTGTTTTGTTTTACATGATAGTTTTTCTTAAACGGACAGACATTTTTCCTCCTCTGAATGGTCGGAATTTTATTACCGTTTGATCACTTCTATTTTATTTTCTTCAGTTAAAGTTTTTCAGCTGAAGTTTTGCTAATTCAGAAGCTTTACACATTTTAATACATTTCTCCAATGTTAACTGATCTTCCCTTAATAATCTATTTTTGAGATTTTTATTTAGAATTCCGCTTACTATTCTATCTCTTATTAAACTATCTTTTAATTCTCCAAATCCACAGTTGCTACTTAATTTCTTTAAATCGGTTAAGAAATCATCAAATGATTCACCTACATGTTGTGTTCGACAGAAAAATATATGTCTATCGACACTTTCGTTTGCTTTCCGTACGCAAAAATTTCCGAAAGCTTCAATTACTTTGTCAACATCCTTCTTATTTTCTTCACTTAAATTAAAAGTATTAAACTTTTCAAGTGCTTCTTCACCAATAATATGCAATAAAATAGCTACCTTTAATTTCAGGTGATTTAGTAATAACACCAGACGCTAACATATAAATTTGGAATTTTTGTTTCCATTTCTTCCAATTTTCGCTTAAATTACCTTCAAAACTTAGATTACTTGGTGGCTTTCATCCATCCATATTTAATTTAGGACTTTAAATAGTTTATATATATATACGTATTTTTAGCCACTTCCAATAAAAATAAACAACGCACTTACCAGCGATATAAATTTCGATTTCACTGTAAACAACTTTCCATCAGGTTTTTGTTTAGAATATCTTTCTGCATGGTGCTTCAAAAAAGATTTTCTTTTTTAATCAACTACTGGCTGAGCCATGTGTTGTATTTTATATATGTTGGGTACGTGCTCAGTGATGACTACAAGTTGTACACAAACATCGTTTATTCTACATTGCTCATCTACTATTCTATATTATAGTTATGATTAAAGATAATAATAGATACAGTTACATATATAACAGTCGGTATATTTAGTATAAAGTGTTCTTACAAAATTTTGTGTAATTTTTTAGAACAGAAAAAAACAATATATTAATACTGAAATTTTTGTAGGTGCATTATTCATTTCAACGAGTATTTAATGAGAAAACAACACAAAAAGAATTCTTTGATCATGTGGCTTTGCCTTTAGTGAATGATCTTCTACAAGGTAGCAATGGTGAGTAATTCTACTTTCAAACACATTTTCGTTTCATAAGCTCAGCCATTTTTCTAATATAATATATTGTCCAGGATGAATTTTTAGTTACTGTTTATTAGTGGAAATTATAGGTTATTTAATTTGCAATTGTATTAATAAAAATTAAAGTATCAGTAATGTCTTCAAGTTTAAAATCTGTACATAGTACAGCGCTTGAAATCTTGATAAATTTTTAACTGCTTTTCTTATAATTGCGAAAAAGAAAATTTACTAATTTTATTGTCAAGATAGTTTGAAAAACAATCTGACAATAGTAAAAAAAAAAAAAAAAAAAAAAAAAAAAAAAAAGTTATTATTTTCGAAGTACTTTTACATCCATCATTTTTATAAGAAATATTTTAGCTAGCTTTATAGGAAACTAAGAAAGCAACTGTTTTGTTGCTGGTTCAGGTTTGCTTCTGAATATCATTTTCAATTGAAGCGCCACCTGGAATTTTGAACATCAGCACTTTGCTATTTTGTGCAAAACTGATCTTTTTTATTTAAAATATAAATATATTTTCAAGGTCTTTCTGCTTACAATTATAGGATTTACTAGTGAAACCAAATGCACTTTTTTAAAACTTTTTTTCCCCCACTTAGGTTTAGTATTTACGTATGGAATAACATCATCGGGTAAGACACACACTATGACTGGAAATCCTCAAGATGGGGGATTATTGCCCAGAAGTCTTGATGTTATATTTAACAGCATAAAGGATTTTCAAGCCGCAAAATTTGTAAGTAATTTTTAATTCTTAAAAATATTACTCCTAGTAAAAATGAAATATTTAATATTATTAATTATTTTGGTATTCCATAAGTAACATTTATTGTGAAAAACTTTGCTACCATTCCAAAGGAAAGATCTTGAAATGTCTTGTTGAATGTTTGGAATGTAATCTACAATTGCATGATTTTGTTTTTTGTCTGTTGTTGTGAATAGTTCGAGCATATAAACAAACACTTAATTATTATTAACAATGTTATGCCTAAGAATAACAGCTTAATTAATGCTATCTGATTGCTGAAATAAAAATACATTTAAACAAATATTATCAGTATAGTATGCACAAATTTGAATATTAAGCTGATAATTTAGTAAAATACAGCATTCGCTTAGTTACAGTTTGAATATACAGAAATAGATTTAAATACAGAATGTTATACTTCTTATATTTTAATTTTTTACTCTATGTAAGCAAGTTTTTGTGTCACTTGAGAGGTTATAACATCTAGCGACGGTTCCTGCTAGTTGAGCTTTTCAGAGAAACGAAATTCTGGTAGCACTTGTTTAAAGAGAAGGATTCCCTGAAGAAACAGCTCAGCTGAAAGCGAAGTCCCGTCTAGCTGCAGAAACAATGTCCCGGCTGTGCAGGATTTTTTGAAACCTCGCCAAAAATGTTTCGTCTGCAGTTCTGTCCCGGGTAGAGATCAACCAATCAGATGATGATGAAGTTCCGCTTCTGAAGGATCATGTGATCCCAATCTGAGTGATAATCGATTACTGTTTGGAGTTCAAGTAAGTGAAAATGGAAACCTAATTACATGAGTTTTGTGGAAATAAGAGGGTTCTTAGAAGTATCCCCTTCCCTTGTTCACTCCCATATAGCGGAAACATATGTGATAGGGACTTTAGGAAGCTGTATAAACAATTGCTATCAAGCAAATATTTGACTCATTTTGGTGTTCTGGGAGCAGGATGTTATTAATAGAAATAAATTATTATAGTGTTAATGGAGTCAAATATTGTTAACTGGAAAGTATGGGTTATGTTATGTATCTATTTATTTTTAGGTCTTTAAACCTGATAGACTTAATGGTTTTGATATACAGTCTACAGCTGAAGCCCTATTAGATCAGCAAAAAGAACTTGGCATTTTTAACAGAACTCCCAAACCCAAAAGGTATTTCTTATGTGACAAAATTTATGTATAAACTTATTTTTACATACCTCTTAAAATGAAATATTGCAAATCAAGTGGCTGTTAAAAATCTGCAGAAATATATTCATAATTTTAAATGATTCTGCAGATAACTAACAATATCTTAAAATTGCATAAAATTATGTTTAAGAAAAATTTATTTACATTTCAAAAATTAATAATATAAATATGGTTTTAGTAGTGTTAATTATTTCATCAGTCTTGTACTGTCTTGTACTTCTGAAAAGATTAAAATAATATTATATATTTTTTAAAGTAAAAAAACAGGTTTGTGACACTGCATTGAATTTTATTCATATTTTTTTTAACTAACATTAAAGTTTTAATGTTAAATTAAAAAGTTCTAGCTAGTATGATAGTTAATATTTCATTGTTGATAAAAATTCTGTTTTTTATTATGTTATTCTAATGTTTAATGATAAATTTCATTTATTAATAAGTTAGTTCTTTTGTTGGTGAAAAAAAGTTCATCCTAGTTCACTTATAACAGTGATCAATTAAAAAAATTGTTTTTTTATTGGTTGTGGTAAACGAAAATAGGAGGAATTTAAAGCATGATTTATTTTGGACATTTCAATATTTAACTAACTTTAATAAACTTAATAAAATAAACTTAATAATAAACTTTAATTTAAAAAATTTTTGCATTTAGTTTTTTACTGTGTTAATAGTTGTATCACGAAAACAATAATTTGTGTGCCTCATTTAAATATTTTCAATGGCTGGATGTTATAGGAAAGAAACTATTGGTGACTGGTGTAACAGAGTTCCAGATTCAACTGTAATAACTGAAATTTTGCCAGATATGCATTATGCAGTGTTTGTGTCCTATGTTGAAATATACAACAATTATATCTATGATCTATTAGAGGAATCTCCTATTGATCCTAAAAGAATTAAGTAAGTTACTTTGTGACCTATGTGTTATTTTTAATCAGTAAATGGAATTATTCATATCTGTAATTTCAGTGTATGAAAATTAATAACTTAATAATCAGAATATAGGAACCCTCTCAGGGTAAGTACTTTTAGTGATGACCACATCTAAAAGTGACAGCATAATCAAATACTTGTACGAACAATTATAATCTTTCTTTCTAAGAAGGCTATCGTTTGACCTGACCCAGATCATCATAATTTCAGTATCAGCCTAAATCTCTGACAGAAACCTTTTTTTTATAATGTATATCCTTTTTTTTTAATACATTTCTGAAACGTAGGACAGTTTCTAAAATATTTGAGCTTTTTGGAGAGTTAATCTTTTACTATATATATGTAAGATATAAAATCTATCTTTCAAATAATAAATTAATAGCCCTTTAACTCCCATCTTCATTCTAAAAATAACAGAGCTATAAATTTTCTAACTAAAGGGAAAAGATCAGTCATTTAATTTGTATTGCATCATTTAATATGTATTTGCATCACAATTCCCTCTCTTCCATCTTTTCTCTTGCTTCATTTTGCTGCTTTGCATTGCCGCTCGCTACTTACTTTTCTAATTCCGATAATAAATGATATGAATAACTAATATGGATCACTTTTCAGTCACTAATAAACCAATATGGATCACTTTTCAGTATTTTTCTTGAATGGACTCCAAGAACTTTAAATAGGCAGATCCACTATGTAACTTTGGTTCCAGCCGAAAACGTTGTTGAGAAAACAACGCAAGGCGAAAACGTCGCGGAGAAACATCTTGGGAGAAAACATCGCAGTCCCAAAACATCATGGTCGAAAATGAAGCTGTTAAAAAACTTTGAAGTTTAAAAACATCGTCGTCGAAAATATCGTGGTAAAAATTAAAGTATCTACAAATCATCACATGACGATAACATCGCAGACATGCTTTAATAATTGTAAATGGGTATTCCCATAATGATTTGTGAGCACAAGATGGAAAGAAGGATAATTTTTACTTCCATATTTTTTATTTAATAATAAATTTTTGCTGAGAAAATAAGAAGGAAACTTAAGCATAGAAAATTAATGCAACTTATAGCACTTAATAGAATTTTAAACTGACATAGTTAACTAAAAAAGGCCATTAATAAATAATTTTTTATAAAGTTTTTACTGGTAATTTTTCATGAAAAGTATAATAAGTTGCATTTAATTTTCTATGCTTAAGTTTCCTTCTTACTTTTCCAGTAAAAATTTATTAGTTAATAAAGTAAGTTAATAAAAAAATGTAAAGTAAAAATTATCCTTCTTTGCATCTTACACTCACAAATCATTATCGGAATATCCATTTACAATTATTAAATCCTGAAAAAAGTATGTCTGCGATGTTATCGTCATGTAATGATTTGTAGATACTTTATTTTTTACCACGATATTTTCAGTGACGATGTTTTTAAACTGCAAAGTTTTTTAACCACATTATTTTCGACCACGATGTTTTGTAGCACAACATTTTTGCCTTGTGTTGTTTTCTCCGCGATGTTATCGGCGGACACCCAAACTTTTGGTCACCATTACCTATAATTTTCTTCTCTGTGACGACCATCTTAACAAAAGACCGAAATTGTCCAAAATTATGAGTGGTTCTTTTAGAATTCACTGTACAATATATTTTCAATTATTCAGTTTGCGGCTTATCCATGCATGGCAGTCCCATGTATGTACACTCAATACTATGCGCAAGACTGTAAAAAACAAACATGCATAAGTCCAAGCATGCTCTAAAAGGTGCTGTATTATGTCTTTAGGTTTAATTTCAATAACTGTAAGTTACTCTTTAGGTTTCTTAATATTTAGATTTCTTTTCGTAACTCTTGCCGAGGAAGAGGGGGATTTAATTGAAGTTCTGGAAAAAGTTTACTGAATGTCTTTTGACATCCAGTTACTAGCAAAAGCTTCTTCTTCAGATTGAGTTTGTTAGGTATCGGGCACCTCTGCTAAATATCATTTTGTGCTAATAGCAGAAGCTTGATCATAAGTAAAATCAATAATACCGGTTTAATCATGGAGAAAGATTCTTCCTAACAGAAATCATGGATTTATCTAATTGTGAAGAAGTTGCGATTCGATGGGCTGAGCTAAGTGCTTGAGTGATGTGGATATCATTTCAAATGCCACAAGAATAGAAGAGGAAGAGCAGGATTCTGAAAACATAAACAGAGAAGCTACTCACAATTACTTTTAGTCCTGAGACCGCAGTGACTTCTGTCGAAACTTTGTGTGACTTCGTTGACCAAAGGAGATTTGAATACTGTGATAAAAAAGCAGTTTGAAAAATATATCATGAAATTCAACAAATATTTAAATGTTCTCAGAAGCAAAATAAAATTTCGTTTTTTTTTAAGAAACATACATAATATGCATAAAAATTGATAGTTTGGATTATCCCTGTTTTTAAATTATCTGTGACCTGCTTTCCGTGCATTAGCCCTGATAATTCAGAGCATAATATTCAGATATTTTAATTCAAAATACATTTTTAATCTTTTGTATTCAGGATAATTTTAGTGGTATTCTTTTCCAAAATTATTAGTTTAATTGAATGTAAATTTTCAATTCTGCCCTTTGTTAATTTAAATGTTGTTTAAAAAATTTAATATTAGAGATAAAATAATTGCAAGTTCTTTCATTGCTTAAAAAATATGAAGTTATGTAACATTTAAAATTATTATAAGAATGCTACATATGTATGTAATAATTTGAGATCTTTAACTGCATCATCATCTCAAAATTAATCTATGTCATATTGTTAGATATTGTTAATGATGCAGATTAGCTTCAGCCAAAAATGATTTCATGTTTGGGAACTGAACTTAATTAATCAGAATAAAGCTAAACCAACCTGAATGGGGATTTATTTGAGCCATGTTGCTTTCCTTCTATCACTTGCTGTCCTGCCTGTCGCCTACCCCTCTTTTGTTAATTTTGATATCATAATTATGTAAAAAAATCTGATGTCGACACCACGACTTCCTTTTATCACGTATTAAAGTATACACATTTTTGTTATTTTTCATTTAAACTTATTTCCTCAAATTTCATTAGAGATATATTTCTCATTTATTTAATTCTGTTCTCACTTCATGGCAAAGCAAAAATACATAAGAACTCAAAATATCATCATTAAAAATAGTAAAATAGGGAAAAACATGAAACACCATAATACAGTTAAAACAAAAAAATTATTTTTACAATTAAAATTAGCCTGTATGCAAAAACAAACTATACGGCCAGCAGGCCTGAAGGCAGATATTTTGGTGTACAAAATTGAAAGTTTACTTTTGATCCCGCTTGTCAAAAAAGACATTGAAGAGGCAGAAACTGAGTTAATTTACTATTCTACCAAGTTTGAAATGTAAACAAATGGCGGTTCATTAGGCTTAACTCTCCACTTGTCGATAATTCTACAACTATTGCATGCAGATTAACAAAAAGCATAAAAACTTTAACGAAAACATAAAAATCACACAATTCAATCACTTCTAAAACTAAAAGTATAAAAACCTTAACCAGATCATAAAAATCATGCAATTCAATCACTTCTAAAACTAAAAGCATAAAAATCACGTAATTCAATCACTTCTAAAGTAAAAATGCACAATTTACTGACATATAAGAACAAAAAGACTAAACTCACCGAATCAGGTAACAGAGAGGAAAAATATATTTATATACAATTGGTGCAGTGATTTCAATGAAAGATGGAGGTTCACGACTACATGTCACAGCAGTCCCATATACGAAATTTCAACGTCCTACGGCTACCCATTCTCGAGTTATGCGAGATACATACATATGTACATACAGACTCAAAAAAATCCATTTTAAATCCAGTTTACAATCCTTTTCGGCAAAACAGTCCTTTATCCTGTCCATGTATACAAATGTCACATAAAAACATCGTTCAAATGGATTCGAGAACGGTTGAAAGGGATATTTTCATTGAAATATGATACCCGAAATTTTTCGCAATTACAATACTTCCTTTACTTTGTACAAAGAAGTAAAAAGCACAAATGGGATCAAGATTGGATGTGCAGATTGCATGCATTAAACTAAGTACATGTATGTCAACAAATAAAAAATCTTAAATAGCCCATGACTGTGATTGCTACTTTATATATCTGCATGACAATGTTATCTAGTTTATTATATATTTTTATATATCTGCATGACAATGTTATCTAGATTATTATATATTTTTATGTAATCTTCATTAATTTGAAAGCTTTAATAGATAATCTGTTATTCAAAAATAATTTCTAAAACTGAAATGAAGGTTAGTTGCTTTTTACAAAAGTATTCTTTAAAGTATTCACAAATCAACAAAATACTTTTCAAAATTTTTTCATTTGGTATGTATGATTGTATCTATTTTTATCAGAAAAAACGAGCAGTTTTATATTTTCTAATAATACAATATTGAAATTTAATATTTTATTTGTTGGGAAGGATTTATTCATCAATTGAGCACTATATTAATAGCTTAAAAATACTTTTGGAGCATTTGCAAAATTTATGGCATTGTATTTGTGTTCCTCTTCACTACTGTATTGGCCCACCAGCGGCCGAGCGGTAAAGTCGCTTAACACTGGTAGTTCGGTCCGAGGTTCAAATCCCGCGAACGGGCTGGCTGCATGGGCGTTTTCGTGGTTTTCCCCATGTGTAACGTGTATACGAGCCAGTTTCCCTTAGAAAGTCCTCCACGAAGGCATCCCTCCTCTTAGGCAGATAGCCCTCGAGGCTTTGCCACACCCACACACCCACCCACCCACCATCACTACTGTATTGTTACATATTATGCTATCTATTATGTTTCATATTATATTCTATTATTTAGTTCCTCATTTTTATCATTTCATATAATTCTAATTTCTTCATATTATTCCAAAAGTAATAAGTTTTATTTTAGGAATTTTAATTCAAAAATGCTACGAGAAGATGCTTCTAAAAACATGTATGTTTTTGGTGTGGTTGAAAGTGAAGTGAAAACTGTTGAAGAAGCTCTTGAGCTCTTTTATAAAGGACAGCTAAGACGTAGAGTATCCCATACAGCACTTAATACAGAATCTAGTCGTAGCCATAGTGTTTTTACAATCCGTATTGCGCAGGCCCCTCTTGATCCTCTAGGAGCAGAAATATTGCAGGTAATTCTTTGATATTAAATAAAGCTCTAGAAATACAAAGTTATTTTATTATACAAAGTACATTGTCTTGAAGCAATATTTAAGCCAGATTTTTTGGATGTCATATATATCTTTGTTTTGGCATTATAAAATCATATTTGACATTTAAGTGTAAAGCAGTGCTTCCTAACTAATGTGTTAGCATACAAGTGTGCAGTGAAAAATTGAACCCCTAAGTTTTGAGTATGGAGCAACAATATCAAAGAGCTGGACTGTTGAATGCTCCTTTTTGCTTCATTGATCCTTTCTACCGATGCACAAATATGGGCCTCATTACTATTACCCACACATTTTGCATCTACAACTCAGAATATTATTACTCTGTTTCAATTTCAACTCAACTGAGAGCACCTGTATTTCAAGATTATGTCATTTTTGTAAGAACTTGGTTCAGGTAGATGTTTATTATAACTAAGCTGTCTGTATAAAACGCCTTAGAAGGAATGTGTTATTGCATCTTTTTCTCAATTTGTGTTTTGACAAATGTGATAGTCTATGGAACATAAGTTGAATTATTGGCTGCAGTTGACAGGAAAGGTCAGAGGCTTGATGTCGAAAGTTTAATCAGAAAACTCTGGTGTTAAAATAATACACAGTTTTATTCACAGAGAATCTTTAATATCAAATAGTTTAGAATTAAAGTTCACGCTTAAAAGTGATAGCGCAATAAAAGTGATTAATGAAGTCAAACTAGACCAGTTCAATTGCGACTTTTTTCATCCCCTTTTCTTTATGGAGTAGAGCATCAATCTATATTTTTCCAAAACTGAAGTTCTTTGGCTGTCAAAAGCAAGAGTTCTCTTCAGAGTTCATGAATTAAATGACAGTTGGAAGTACTTTTTTAGGGTAATTCTCTGTATTCAGATAATACGGAAGACTATTAGCGGTTGCAAAAAAATTGCCTTCTTAGATGATATGTTTGAATATCTAATTAAATTTAGGAAAAAAAAAAAATCACTTTAGTATATTGACTTGTACTGACAAATTTATTGGATTTAAAAACGAAGTTAACTTTGCAAAGATGTGGAGGAAAATGGTTTCCCCGAAATGTTTAATTCATTCTAATCCTAAAGAACTATAAGAACTTGTAGATGCTTGAGAGAAAGCTTTATTCCTACTATGAATTAAAGATGACTAAAAATTGGGTTTGAAATTCATTTGCATCTTCGTTATATCTTCTGGCATTTCATTTATTATTTAAAGGAGAGGCGAAGATTTAATTGATCATATTCTTAAAGTTGAGTTAAAGGATAGAATGCCAACTTTGAATGGAAAGTTATCCCTAACCTGAGTTCTGGATAACCACAAAAAAAGTTTCCTTGCATCAGCATAAAAACCGTAAACATTCTTTCACCATTTGCTACAAAATACATGTGTGAACAAAGTTTCTGTCTTATGCTTATTGTCAAGAGTTTGGAGATCATTAAAAAGTCTTAATCATGAACTGTGTGTAACCATTTTGACAGTAGACCCAGATACAAAAAAAGTTGTGGCGACATAAACAAATCCAAGTATCTCACTGAAATAAGAAGGTAATATGTGTATTAACTGTGGCAGAAGAATATTTTATATGTTTATATTAATACTTAAAATATTTATTTTGCCATTAAATTATTAGCATAAAAGTATGCCTTTGATTCTCTAACGAATAAAATAAGCAAACATGTGAAATTCACTGTGGTATGAATTGCATGCGAGTCAGAATGGCAGAATTAAAAGTTAGAAAATAAATTAAGGTGACCAGACGTCCCGATTTAAGTGGGACAGTCCGGATTTCAGACTTCATGTCCCGAGGGCCTTCGCTTGTCCCGGCAGTACGCCTGTTTGTCCCGCTTTTCTGCAAAAGAGACTTAACGTCAATTAATTTAAATTCGGCGCCACAGCGCATTGGTGATGCCTCGCTGATGCTTGCTTCCCATAAAGCTATGATGTCATCACTCAGAAACCCGGGCGGCGACCGCGTTTGGTGGCTAAGGTAAAGAAACAGCATGCACGAAATATCTGTCGCCATAGCTCGAAGCTGGCGTCGAAGTTCGAAGGTCACGTTTATCAAGAGTCCATAAAATGAATATCGTTCTAAATTTCTTTAAACTTTAATGAAAAAGGAAATATTTTTTGCACAAGTAAATTAATTAATGGATTAGTTATTTTCAGAAAAAAAAAAACAAAAAAAGTGTGAAAATTCGAGTTTAAACTATCACGAAAAGTCAAACAAATGTTTTGTCAAAGAACATTTCTTATTAACACCGTGTTCCTAAATTTCCTGTACACATCGTGGAGGGGGAAATTCTCGCAGCCAGGGTCCATCGCCAAATCCCTCCACTTTCCAGCGATGTAATGGCAAACTGGTGTACATTATGTTCTATGGAACCTTTCCTTCTTAGATGTTCTTTGGCTAAAGTGGTTTGTGCACACGATTGTCGTGTTTCAGTGGTTATTTATTATTTTCTTATGTGAGTGACATTACCCGAGTCCAATGGCGTAGCGAGGGAAAGGGCAAGGGGGTGTATGATACCCCGCGGCCACCGCTCGCAGAGGGGCGCCAAATGGTCTTCAAACAAGATTTTCATCATATCACTGTGTTTTTTTGGGGGGCGGTAAGAGGTTATTTTGTCCCAGGCTCCAGTTATGCTCCCTACTTCACTGCCCGAGTCTCCATTCAGCATCAGTTATGCCAAAACGAAAGTAGAAATTCAGCAAGGAATTACAAGGCGAGTTTCCATTCATAAAAGTTAGAAGCAACACCGATAGTGACGTGGGGTGCAACAAATGTGGCTCACATTTCTGCATCGCTCACATTAGCCGTGGAGATATAAAGTATTTGAATACGGAGCGGCACAAAAATGCCCTGAAATTGTCGATATCATCACGCACAATTACAAACTATTTTTCAAGATCTGAGTTAGGTGAAAAGGAAGCTCGGTTGGTTGCTACAGAAAGTACCTTTGCGTACCATATGATTTATCACAATCGCAGCTTTAGGTCGATGGACTGTACTTCCAGATTAATGCAAAAGTATTTTAATCCAAAATTCACTTGCGCACGAACAAAATGTGAAGCATTGCCTCGAATGTGCTTTGTTCCATATGTAATGAACCAAGTCAAGGCAGAATTAAATGTCGCGGATTTTGTGTCAGTGTCAACAGATGCGTCAAACCATAAGGATATCAAGATAATTCCTGTGATAGTGAGATATTTTGTGCCACTGTGAGGTGTGAAAGTTAAGATCCTGAGCATGTAATCTCTTTCTGGAGAAACAGTACAGACGATTTGCATTTTTCTTGTAAATGCATTACAATGGCATGGTCTGACAAAAAAGGTTGTTGGCTTCTGCGCAGACTACACTAACATGAATTTCGGGGGATTAAAAAGAAGAGTTAGAAACAACGTTTTTGCAATATTACAAGTTGCCCTCGGAGGAAACTGGTAGGTATTGATTGTGCTGCTCATATCGTCCATAACATAATCCAAACAGCAGGAGATTGCTTGCAAATTGATGTGGAAGCAGTTATTATGAAAATTTATTATTATTTCTATATGTAGACTTTTCGTGTTGAGTCATTCAAAGAATTTTGCGACTTTGCTTGTATAGAGTACCAGTGCATTTTACGATATGGGAAAACTAGATGGTTATCACTGATGCTTGCAGTAGAGAGAGTTTTAAAATTGTTTCCTGCACTGAAATCCTATTTCTTGTTGAAAGAGAAGTGCCCCACACTAATCCGCAACTTTTTTGAGAATCCCTGTGCTTACTTGTGACTCTATTCCGTACATAACATTGCTGTGGTGTTTCAAGCGGCAATTCTGCACACAGAAGCACAGACTGTAAGAGCATTGGAAGTATCTTCTGAACTGGATGATTTGATACATAAATGCACTGAGAGAAGTGCAAAAACCTTTTTTGCCAAATGAAGTACTTATGCTGATTACCCAATAAAAAGAAAAAGGATTGGTGAGAAGAAATGACATTATAGGTACCATTGTAAATTTTTACAATAACTGTGCTGAATATCTGAAAGAGAGGATTGAGCAATTCGAAGATCTAAATGCATTTAGTTGGGTTGTGTTAAGTCCCAAACACATTATGTTTCGGCTACGTGGGACTTGACGTTGAAAGGGACAATTCTCAGAACCCCCACAATTCCAGGAAACCCACATAGCTAGGTTACCATTTTCACTTACTACAAAGACTTGAAGGCCAAACACTAATAGATTATCGCTCAGATTGGGATCACATGAGGCTTCAGAAGCAGAACTTTTGCCTGATTGGTTGTCTTTACCCGAGACTGAAGTCCAGCCGAGACATTTTCGGTGAGGTTTGAAAAATCTCGTGTAGCCGCAACATTCTTTCCGTAGCTATCTGGGGCTCTTTTTTCTTGGAATCCTCCCGTTTAAACTAGTGCTACCAGCATCTCATTTTTAAGAAAAGTCCCATTTAGCAGGGACTGTAGACATGTGTGATAACCTCTTTAAAGAAGGCAACGTCATGGGAAAAGTACAAGAGAGCATGCAACTTTTTGAGTGGAAGATTCCGAAGGTTGACATTGATGATAACAAGTTATTTGACGAAGTAAGCTACATTAGGTGATTTACTTCATCACAAAAGATTGCAGATTGGAATTGTCAGAAAACTAGTCTCGACTGTCCATGGGCTGAAATTTTTCGTCATTTCAAGGAGAAAAACGTGCCATGTGCGCAAATCCAGAAAATTGGGGAATTTTTGTTGCATCTTCCAGGGACAAACGCCGCCAGTGAAAGAGTTTTCTCTTCTATAAATATCATATGGACAACTGAAAAGACACAGTTAAAACTGGAAACACTACAAGCAATGTTAATGGTGACAAGCAATTTTGAATTTGACAGTTCCTGTGATGAAGTCTATGAAAGACTTCTACAAGAGCCAGAACTTCTTAGAAGCATTACTTCGTCAATGAAATACGTTTACGGAGCACCTACACAGGATGACCCTTTTAGGTCAGCGGCTGATCAGGAAGGCCCATCGTTCGCGTTGAATTAATACATTTGCGGCGTCATGTGCTGGATGGACAGATTCAAGCAGAAAGGTAGGAAGTTACAAACTTTTATTTTCCGACTGCTTTTTTTTTTTTTTTTTTAAATTTTTTGTTCGCTCTTACTCTTACTGAAAGCGCATCTGAGTTGTCTCAGTCCAGATCCCAAAGTCCATGATTGTTGATTTAATAATTAATTCAGTCTGAAATATGGATAAATTCTATTTTTTCTTTCAATAATAGAGTCTGTTTAACACACATGCTTATTTTCAAATGATGGGTAATTCTTTGCAGGACAATGTGACTTCACTAAAAATTTTCACCTTCAGAGGGGGCTTCCACCCTCTCCCCCCACCACCCAAATTTGTATCCCTCTGCGTCCTGCTTTGTCCTTCAGAAAAACTGGTCACCTTAGAATAAATCCAACGTTAAAGTTGTACATACATTTTGGTAATTGGTGCTAAGATTAAAAGAAAATAAATAATATTAAATAAATATTAGACGAAGGTGGATCAATTATTTTACTATTTTATTTCACAGCATAATTAAACTTTGTGCAATGATGAGCAGTAAAGTTAATAAAACATCAACTCTTGAAACTAATAAAAAATTTCACTGTATGCAATATTTTGGCTGAAAAGATTGTTGCATGTTAATGATAATACCTAAAGTGTGGTAATAAATTGTGCCAAATTTAATGCTAAAGACTGTATTTCCTACTTATGCGATAAGCATGCAGATAGGAAAAATTTGGCCACTCTCACATTGCAGGGTGACAGGAGAGAAGTTTTCTCCTCTGACCTTGCAAGATCAGTTGAGTGCATCCACACCACATACATTTTTCTTCAGCTTTTCTAAAATGTTTATGTGTAATCAGTAATTCTTTTATATGTAATTAATTTTACTTTTGTATTTTCACATAATTTTATAAAATAAGTTCTGAAAATATAATCACCAAGCAGCCAAATCTGACAATTTAAAGATGGGATGTAAAAATCTCATGTCAGGCATCAGCCATTGAAAATGTATTGGTTAAGTACTTTCATTCCCTTTGTTTATTTCTGTGCTATTGACTGTGTAAAAAGACTTATATGAGAGCAATGTATAGCTTCAATATTTATGTATATTATAGTGCAAAAATGTTTGAAAGAAAGATCTTATTAATGAAATCCTTAATATGAAACAGGAGAAATTAGTCATATTAAATGTTCTCTTGTATTATGGTGTGAAAGTATTAATGCTTATTATGAGCACAGTGAATGTTATTATTATGAGCACAGTGAATGTTATTATTATGAGCACAGTGTGTCTATGCTTGTAAGCATAGACAGTTTCACTGTGTTTACAAGCATAGACATCAGGAAACTGTTGCTTGTGAGGTATGTTGTAATGTGAAAAAAGTTGGGAAGCACTACCTACCTTATTTTACCTCTCAGCAGATAATTAAAACTCCAGTTTTTTTATTTTTATTAAAAATAACCAAGGAAAATATTTCTCAGGAGTAAATGAAAATTGCTGAATTAAATTTAAGTGGTAAAAATACCATTTCTCCCTACTCTTACTACTCTCTAATTTTCAGATAATTTATTAAATTTTATTTTATCTGAATTGTTTCAATTTACTGTACACATTTCTGAGATTTTTTTATGAAGATTCAAGTGTTATTATGTTAAATTGATTAATATTTGTATTTAATTTTTTATAACAATATGTGATACATTATTAAATTTAGATAGGATGTAACAGGATAGAATGTACATTATTTATTAATTTAATTTTCTGCATGTTTGAAAGCACTTTGATAAATAAAGGCTTTCTTCCCTTGCTCGGAATTTTCGTGGCATAAATGTCTAAGAAAATTTTAAAATGAAATTACCCAAAGAACATGAAATTTAGAATATATAAATAAATATTAATTTATTTTATGTTAGAATTATATTCTAAATAGCTGAATAATCTGAATCGTGCATTATAAAACACATTTAATTCAATTTAAAGTTCTTTTAACTTGCTGTCCAGCATGAAAACCCCCATGCACTCCCAGTTTGGGGTATAAAAACCTCTCAGTTTTTCATATATCAAGATTGGTAACTTTTACAGTTTTATCTTTTTACAGTTTTAGTAAGAAATATCTGCAAAGGGAAATTAGAAATCTTATTTATTGTAATATTGTTGAACATTGTAATCATTTTAAGAGATGGGTTTTCTTCTAGACTAGTGGTTTTCAACATTTTTTGCCCATGCACCCCTTTCAGCATTTATAAAGTTTATTCCCCTCTTTCTTTCCAAACCCTGAAAAATTCATTTATACATTTATTTAGATTTGGATTATTTCCTAATATGTTTCAACAAGAAAAAGTGTAAAGACTGCTAATGAATGCTAAAACTTGAATAAAAGTGATTTCTTTTTATGTTCATAATCAAAAACTAAAATATTAACAGCTAAAATAAAAGGCTAGCATTCTCTCCCTGAAACAATGAAATTCCTCCTTGGGGTAATTCCTCCTCCTGGTTGAGAACCATTATGCTGGATACTAGTAAATTTGAAGAATTATAACTCCTTTGTAATACAGGTCAGTTTTAAAATAGTTACAAAAGTAAATAAAATAGGATCTTTGTAAGTAAATGAGTACTTAATAAATCAGTATTTAAAATATGTGTACAGAGGTGGAATATTCCCTAAAAAGTCGTGTTTTCCTACTGAAATTTATTTGTGTTTTCATTCTTATTTTTGTATAAAGTGATTCTTTTTTGAGTTTTGGTATTAAATGAATCTTTATCTTGTCAAAGTTAATTTTATTTTATAACCATGTTAGGAAGTACTCATAAATATGAGTATTAATAAACTTTGCATCATGCAGAATTTTCAAATTTTAATTCTGCATGTTAAAATTTTCTTTAAGTGGAAATAAATATACTTTTTTTTAAAATTTGTATTCCCCCCCCCCCTGAAGATTTCTTAATACAGCTCTCCTTGTTTTAACATTACATCTATGGAAATTTTTTTCTGCATTATGACCAAAAGTCTATAAATGAATTTGTGTGTGACTTTGAGTTATTATTAGGATAATATAATGAATGTTAAAACAAGAAATAACATTTTATGGGCAGAATGAAAAGAATTACTGCTTTAAATAGAAAAATCTAACATTTTTTATGAAATTATAATTAATGTATTTATTTTGAATAAATATATGAGACAAATAAATGTTTCACTTCTTTAGTGTTTCATATTCCTTTTTAAATAATATTTATTTTCTTTACTTCAGGATAAAGATCAAGTAATTGTCAGCCAATTATCGCTTGTTGATTTGGCAGGCAGTGAACGCCCTCTGAGAACTAGGAATACAGGACAAAAACTACGTGAAGCAGGTTTTGTATCATGTTAATGATTAGCAAAGTTTATCATGGATCACATTAGTTTCTCTTATATAACTTAATCTTGTTTTCATGCTAGAATTTGTATGCTTGAGTTTTCCTGCTAATTTGCTGCAGTTATACTGTTTTTAATTTAATTATTTTTTATGAATCTTAAAGAAATAAGTGAAAATATTATAGAAACGCAGAGATGAAGGAGAAAGAACAACAAATTTTTAAAATATTTCAAAAACATAAAAATGCAAAATTTCTGTTTTCTTGTTTGGTAGATGTCAGAGGAAAAAATAAGCAATTTTTCATCTGTTGGAAATCCTTTTCATCACGTATTGTAGGATATCCAGAAGTGGTAGAAAATCCTACTGTCTAAGACCTATCGTAACAATATTTACTTCTTATTTGTTTAGTAGAAATATTTGTTGCTATTTTAAGACCATTTGTTGCAGCTTATCACTTGCTAGTTTAATTTCTGCAATTTTTGAATTTTCTTAATATGATGAAGGCAGTTAATTCCAACTTAGCATCTCTTTTGAGTATAATGATTTTCCTTTTCTAGCATCTAGATGAATAAAAGTATATGAAATGTGAGTGTTTTTCATTTTTTCCCCCTTGCACTTAAGTTGAAATTTACTTTTTATTGTATAAAGAATTTTTTTTAAATGCTTCGACTTTATTCTGAGAGATAAGAATTACTTATTTAATTTAATGATAGCAAGTAGACAACATTGGCACGTATATCTTTCTGTAGAAATTGTTTTATATTTGTCATCTTATGACAGAAAATGTCTTACGACAGAGTATGCAGTTTAGTATTTAGTTAGTGTTTTAATAATTAGCTATTAAGTTAGCTATGTAAAATACATTTAGTTAAATATAAACAAGAAATGTATTTTTATAATTTATTATGTAATTGTCTGTGATGCATAGAAATGTAGTTGCACCTTCCAAATAAATTAATAATGTTTTTATTCCCATTAATGTAACTGAATTGTGAGAGATAGAATTTAATCAATTAAGTCTGCTTGGATTTGAACTGTGATGTCTAAATTAGTAGTTTCCTAAAATAAGCAAAAAGAAAAGGGAACAAAACAAAGTTGTAATTCCCTGTTTAAGCAAAACTGGAAATTTCTTTTTATCTTAGGAAAAAAAAAAAAAAAAAGGATGACTCTTTGTTATAAAGATACCATAGCTGATTTATTACAACAAACAGTAGTCAAATGTGGCAGCTCAGAATAATCTTCAAGTCAAAAATCATTATTTGCTTAGTACAGCGTTTCTTAAACTGTGGATCGCTACCCCCCTCCCCCGTGGGGGTTGTGGGACGTGCAGCAGGGGGCCGCCAAAAAATTTAGCAGTTTTGATATTTCTTTACCTTATTATAATAATTTTACAATTGCCAAATATTTTTATACAATGTCTCTAAAAATAGATAAAGATAAGACAATACAAAAAAAGAAAACATTTCAACGCATTCTTTTTACAATAGAAACGTTCATTTTACTTGCTTTGCACGTGACTCTGTCATTTTGTCTGTTATTTATTTAAAATTTTCACATTGCTGTCTTAACATTAGGAATTAAAGTTAATAACCTAAAACTGCAATAGTATAATGCAGTAAAGTAAAAAAAATTGACAGTTTCACACACGCTTGTGTCGGATTTGTGCAATCTTGTGGGGGGTCCCACAAAATTTTCGTAAATATTATGGGATCCTAGGGGTCACAAAAAAATCTCAGTGATAAAAAGGGGTTGCGACTGAAAAAAATTTTAAGAAGCCCTGGCTTAGTATTAATGTGGGAATTAATTTCCACAGTAATATCAGAAGTCAGCCTTTAAAATAAAATTATATGCATTTTGATGTCAACTTCTAAATACTGTAATTAGTGAAGAAATACCGGACTTTTAAAAATCCATTTTTTCAGAGTTAAAATTTGTACTGAAATTTTCTTTTCAAATTTTAGGTGCTCCTCTAAATAGCTCCCTCTTTTTGAGTTGAATGTATGGGTGCGATACTATTCCGTTATTAAAAATGGTAACTAATTCACTTGACCAAGGCCATGTTGCATTTATATCAAAATGGCATGTACTCAGAAAGCAGAAAAAAGTTTAACATTCTTTCTTTGGCTCTCTGGAACCAGTTTTCCCATTACTGACTTTTGCGTACCATTGAACAGCAGTATTTTGTCTCCTGTTTAATTCTTCTCACACAGGTAGACTGCATTAGAGTTTTCCTTCTTATGCAACCTAATTCTCATAAAGTTTTTCATAATCGTATCTGTCCTAAAGTAGATACCCTTCCCCATTTGTTTTGTTTAGTCAGTTACTCAATTAACCTTTCCTAAATTAGCATTTTTCCTGCCAAGCATTTTAAAGAGTGAGTTTTATCTGGGTAGATGCTCACCTTAAATGACCAATTATATTTTTCAATATTACTCTTATTATTATTTCAAGTATGTTACACTTAGCATTTTGGACATATCTTTTCATGATATGTTAACTCACAAACCAATATCTTAAACCATGAAAATTCAAGATGTTTTATACATTAATTTGGTTCCATCTGCTTGTAAATATTTTTGCATTTAATACCGATTTTATGATAATTATATGGGGGAAAAGTATATTGCTTATATTGCAGGGAATATAAATGCTTCATTAATGGCTTTGAGAACCTGCATTGAAGTTTTAAGAGAATCACAAACTCAAGGAGCATCAAAGGTAATATTTTTTTGTAGTTTAACTTTGCTAAATGTTATTTTAATATTCTGTATATATTTATATAATGCTTTCATTTTTAGATGGTCCCATATCGAGAAAGTAAACTTACTCATTTATTCAAAACATTTTTTGAAGG